AGATAGAGTTGCGCCACGCGACTGTTCTTCCATAGAACAGCCTGCGTTTGACGTGACTGGTCTTCCAGTCCCAGATTACTTTTGATATTTGTCTTTAATTTCATTTCATTAAATAGATTTTCTAAGTTTAATCCGGGCAAATAATCAATAATGGGCAAATTGAGTTTAAATCAAAACCAAGCAATTAATCTTGTTATGAATTATGGTATTTTGAGATTTAATATTTGTTATTTCCTTTTAAACTATATTATTTAAAATTCGGCTTGTGGCCTGCCTTTAACCATTAAGCAAGAGCGGCGTCTTTAATTTTGATTTTGATATGTATGCGTGGCCGATGAATGATGGATGTGATGATTAATTTATGTGAATGAATGCAATGAATTGTATTTACTTGGACCGATTAATTTAATTTTCCACATAGGAACTCGGTTCGATTTATTTCGGACGCGGTTTTTTAAAATAATTGCTTTTCCAAAATAAAATCAATTAAGAAATCGTTAGGTTAAAAGAGCCCGTTTCCGGGCGTCGGCTTCCAATGGGCCGACGTACCTAATTTCCCTTACCTAGAATCGTACTTTGATCCTAGAATCGTACTTGATACGCCTGACCAGATTTTCTAAATAATTTGGCCTTAAATAAAATTGGGTTTAAAATGGAGTCATTTAATAAAATTAAAATTGTAAACAGTCCCATTGCCCAAAAAATGGGTGGCGACTCAAATAATTTATAAGACCGATTTATCGGCATCACGTACCCAAAAAGGTTTTTATCACCTTTTTCCAAAAACAAATAACACAAACCAATCAAGAGAGATGTTTTTTGAGATCCTTCCAGAGTTTTTCGGGATTTCGGCGAAAACACCACTCCCATCTGAATCTCATCATTCAGGCCTTCCTGGAACTTTTTACACCTCTCGGCCTCTGTAGCCACTATCCGGTCACCATACCTGCTGAGTCTCTGCTGAGTCTGGTGAATTCTCTTTCATATTCTGCAACTGACATTCTGTTTTGCCTAAGGTATTACAATTCCTTCCTTCTAGCATCAAGGTAAGCCTCTGTGATAAACATTTTCTTGAATTCATCCAAAAAGAATTGCCAGGTACGCTGCTCTGCTGATACTCGCTGCTGAATAGTATTGCACCATGTATATGCCTCATCTATCAGCAATGGCGTAGCACAAATCAACTTATCCTCTGGTGTACACTGCAACTGTTCCAGGACTCTCGACGTCCCATCTAACCAATACTCAGCTATTTCTGGACTATCCGATCATCCTTGCTAGCTCTAAATTCTTTCGCACCGTATTTTCTAAGCTTTTCTAGTGGGGGCTTTCTTTCTCTGTCTACTACTACTGGTGCCTGAGGTACCACCCCTGCAATCTGTTTAAAAGTATCCGCAAGTTGTTTTAACAGCACCTCCTAACCTGGTGCTACTGGAGCCTGACCCTCCACTGCTCTGGAGGCATGTGACTCGCTCTCACATTCCTGTGACATCCTCCTAAAAGAACAACAACTGCTTAGTTCATCAGGGTAGACATGGCATGTACTCTGACATATGCATTCAAGCCCGGGGAAACGAAACCTAGGGCTTTGATACCAAAATTTGTAACATCCCTTCCCGGTCCACCCGTTAACCCGAATGAACCGAGCTGAGACGCTACAATCTGGTTGATGGTTGACTTTATGTCCTGTCATGCTGATATCATAATGGTATATTGACTTTATCTCATGCTGATGCTGTTTACATATTAGGAAAATATAGATATGTAACTTAATATTACAAGAACATGATACTAGTGGTCAACTGAAATGGGCCCACTGTGTGCCCTGTACATGCCATGATACAGGATAGACAGAAATCAAAATATCAAAATGAAAGTAGCTAACCCTAAAGACTGGGTCTTCCAAAGAATGAACTGCAGCAGTTGGTAAGCTGACTCTCTACGTCCCATACCAAAACTTACGAGTTAACAAGTTAACTCGCTGGCAAAATAAAGGCTCAGTGGATATCCTCAACTTATAAAAGAAACAATAAGCACATACATATGTAGAATCACCATGGTAAACACATATAATAAACATGTAAACATATATGGATAAAGAACCATGTAAGCACACATATCAGGATATTTCCATTATCGTACTTGCTGCTCATTATACTGTATGATTATGCAATTTGTAGTCAATAAAACTGTATGGCTCCATAAGGTTATAGTGAAACCAATGTGATAAGAAGAACTGTATGAAACTGGATGAATCCTGTATGATTGGGCTGCTATGGCCATTATATAATCATATTCACTCAATGGCCTGTAGCTGGAGTACCAAACTATATAGGGCACAGATCTGCTATCCTATGTCGCGACATAGCCTTATCTACGTGGTTTCTACCTAACCTCAATGGAGCATAATATCGGTATGTCAATAGTATAACACAAGCATATTAACTTTTCATAACTTCATAAACCATATTGTTTACCTTGGTTTAAACATCATATTGCATGCTTGCATGTTGTTTTGATACCATTGTTCTCATTTGTCCTTTTTGTTTTAAAATGATTAGAGGCATACAAGTTGAGCAAAGGAAACACAATTGGCATACGCAAATGAGGTCCAAAAGAGCATCAGAGACACAATTGCGAGACACGCCATGCAAGTCGCGAGCCGAGAGAAGCACACAAGAGGGATAGCAGAGTTTTTACAGGCCAAATGCGAGCGAGCCATCGAAATTCTCAAGCGCGAGAAGTTGAAAATGAGAGTCCCAGGAATTTACAGGCGCATTCGCAGAATCGACATGAAATTCGCGAGCCGCCGTCGTGTTTTCCAGCCTGCGAGTCTGTACTATTTTTCGGTTTCATATCTCTCAATCTAATAACTCGATTTGGGTGATTCAAAAACGCCATGGAAAGCTAACAACATAGAGGAACAAATAACCGCTTTATGCCACTTCCTAATTCCATCGTTAAATAAGGGTCAAAAGCAAGGTGAAATTACTGGTAAATTTTCCCCTGTTTGTTTAACTTCAATATTTTACTTCATTTATTCATGTTTCATCCCATGCTTTCTCACCATTTCCAGTCCTCCATCACTCAACATTGAAGCAACATTTTTTTCTCATTAATCAACAAACTACACAAGTTTCTCATCAAAAGAAAGTGGTAAATGACAAGAGATTCAAACCTTCACTCGCAAAGAGCTTGAGCTCTTTTTTAGCTTCCCTTTTTCTACTACTTTTGAGCTCACTTCACCTATAATAAGAATCTTATGAAATTCACCAAATGATTTAATTATGAAAGTTCAAGAAGGTTTCTTACTTGGATAGATAGATTTTGAAGTTTAAGGCTTAACTACCGTTGAATGGATGGAGAAAGGAAGGGTAAAGGAGGATGACAAGAAGATGAAGCATAAAGAATGAAAATGGGAAAGTGACATGGAAATCACGCGGTAGGCCTAATCAAAAATATCAATAGATTTTTATGTGAAACTTCCCCAAATGGTACCTTTCAATGTCCAAAAGGTTACAACTTAATACCCAAGCTTTATATTGTAGTGCAGTAAGTCCTAATCCTTATCTTAGATCTAAGTCCTAATCCTTATACTTAGATCTTTTTACTTCATGCAAATAAATCCACTTCTTATCATGATTATAGTAAATCCCATACTACCACACTCTGGACTCTAATGGCTTGAACCGGATGTTGGTTCAGCCCGACTCAACTCGACTCGGTAGGATGTCACACTACATCTAGCAATATTAGAGTTGATGCCAAATTTGCTGAAGAATCAGCTTGGCAATTTTCTTTTTGCAACACGTGCTCAATGGAAGTACTATCAAATTGAGAGAGAAGCTTAGCAGCATAGTTGAAGTAAGGCAATAACTCTGGCTTTCTTACTTCATACAAGGAGAGTACTTGATTGATAACCAACTTCAAATCTCCAAATATCCTCAAGTTAGATATCTCCATATCAATCATCATTTCTACGCCAAGTATCAAAGCCTAATATTTTGCAACATTATTTGAGCACCTCTTGACTAAGTTGAATGTGAAAGGTAAGATTTCCCCTTTTGGAGTGATGAAAACAACTCTAGCTACTACACCCATTTGACTTGATGCACCATCAAAGAACATTCTCCAAGGTTGTGGAACTTCAATAAGGAAAATTTCTTCGTCTGGAAACTCAGAGAACTTCCAATCATCAGGAATATGATGGTTTGCAAGAAAATCAGCAAGGGCTTGCCCTTTTGTTGCTCTTTCTAGGATGTATGTTATCTCAAACTCTTGGAGTAATAAAGCCCACTTCGCTAGTCTTCCAAGCAAGACTGGTTTGGCTATCAAATATTTGATGGGATCAGCACGTGAAATCGACCAAATTGAACAAGCCTGCAAGTAATGTCTCGGTTTCTTTATGGCAAACATTAATGCTAAACACTTCTTCTCAATTGGTGAATAGTTCAACTTAGCATTAGTTAGTGTTCTATTGAGATAATACAATGCATTCTCCTTTCCTTCATCATTTTCTTGCGCTAATAGTACTCCCAAAGAGCATTCTTGAGTTGCAATATATAAGATGAGGGGACGCCCTTGTATCGATGTTCTAAGAACAAGTGGATTCATCAAGTATGACTTAATGCTTTTAAAAGCATTGCTACATACTGCATCCCATTCAAAAGGGACACCCTTTTTCATGAGTTGACTGAAGGGCTGACATCGGTCGACTAGATTTGAAATGAACCTTCAAATGTATGCTAATTTTTCTTATAGGCTTTTGAGTTCATGAATGTCGCGAGGTTCCAGCATTTTGATGGTTGCATCAATTTTTGACTTATCAATCTCAATACTCGGTGCCTCACAATGAATCCTAAAAATTTTCCTAAAGAGACTACAAATGCACATTTCAAAGGATTCAACTTCAGCAGGAATTTATTTAAACGTTGAAATATTTGTCGAATATCATGGATGTGGTCAGTTTCTTTCTTTGACTTTACAACTAGATCATCAACCTAACATTCAAAGTTTTTGTGGAGCATATCATCAAAGATCTTTTGCATTGCCCGCTGATAAGTAGCACCAGCGTTCTTTAATCCAAAAGGCATAACTGTGTAGCAGTATATACCTTTCGGTGTTTGAAAAGCTGTCGCTTCTGCAACCTTAGCAGCCATTGGGATTTGATTGTAGCTAGACAAACAATTCATGAAGGAAAGTTGTTCATAACCAGTTATGGCGTCCACCATAATTTCAATGATGGGAAGAGGAAAGTCATCCATAAGACATGCATTGTTTAGATCTCGAAAATCTACACACATGCATTGTTTAGATCTTGAAAATCTACACAAATTCTTAATTGTCAATTTTTTCTTTTTGACAGGAATAATGTTTGAGATCCAAGTAGGATACTTGACTTCCCTTATGAAACCGGCATTAATGAGTTTATTGACTTCAGCTTTTATTTGTAGAATCAATTTTGAACGGAATTGCCTTTGAGCTCGTTTTACTAGCTTCACCCCAGGTTTGATTGCCAAGTTATGGACTGCTACCTTATGATCCAATCCCGGCATCTCTTTATAGGACCATGCAAAGACATCTCGATACTCTCGAAGCAACTCAACAAACTCCATTTCTTCCTCAGAAGATAAATTTGCACTAAGAAAAATTGGGCGGGGCTCTTCCATTGTTCCGAGATTAATTTCTTTCACCTCATAAATTGTTGCTTTATTTCCCTCTTCCAAAGCAAAAGTAGCATCCTCAGCATTTTCCTCAAAAGTTTGGGCTTGATTCATGTCTTCAAAATTAATGTGGCCAACCATCACTACATCAAGTTCTTCTTCCTCAGGTTGATTAGAGACTTGGCCGGTTATAACCACAATATGTGGTTTTACCTTCAATGCGGATCTCATGGTCACCACCCACTCAGTTTTTCTTTTCATTCGAGAGGGGATTATGCTGTACAAGTCATTACAATCTATAGTAACAATAAACAACTTCCTTTTGTTCTTCTTTCCTTTGCTTGGTTTTGAAATCCCAAGTCTTTGGTAGCCGGAGGTTCTACTTTTCTCGGTGTCCGTACCTTCTGCATTTCTAATCCGATCGAAGACCGAAATACGATTTGAAGAAACTCCTAGTTGACTGAAAATAGAAGGTCTTGAAACCTCACTTTTATCTTTTCTATTTCTTCAACAGAAATATGAGTAGAGGTTTCTCTTCTGATTTTCAATCGTAAAGGAGCAGGAGCTTGATACCCTAGGCCAACTTTAGACCCTTGGTCAGCAATATTCTTCTCCTTCCATACTTTACGAATCCCAATTGATGAATGTTCACTATCACCATTCTTGAAGTCCTTCGTCAATTTGGCCACATCAGTAGAACCATTCCCAGCTTTAGCCAATAGTTTGTAAGCATTAGGGTCAAAACCACTTGTTCTTTTGGCTGGCAATGCTTTAAACTCAACTATCGGGCTCTTGGAAGGCCTTGCAAAACCTTTCAACGATGACTTGAAAACTTTAGGGGAAACAAGACTAGTGACTGGTAGAGTCAAATCTTTCAAGCCTTGTATGATACCTTCCGAATCTGAGGAAGAAAATTGATCATCTTGGCCTTTGGAGACATGCACAAAATGAAGCTTTATTTTCTTAGTAATTGTTTGACTTATCTTGGATAAGGCATCATGCTCGCTTTCTTTTGTTGATGAAGATTCCCCTTCTTCAATCTTCTTTCTAGGAGCCCTTACTTCAACATCCTCAAGAACTGGTTGAATTTCCTCAATCGAAAATTCTTCAAAGTAAAACTTTGCATCGGTGAAATATGATTCACCTTCAGTTAATGGCTTCGAATCAGCTACGACTATTCTTACTTTTCCATCTTTTGACTATTTAAAACATTCAATCGAAAATTCTTCAAAGTAAAACTTTGCATCGGTGAAATATGATTCACCTTCAGTTAATGGCTTCGAATCAGCTACGACTATTCTTACTTTTCCATCTTTTGACTATTTAAAACATTAATAATCAGTCGAAGGCAACACCTTATTTTCGTGAATCCAAGGACGCCCTAATGATATGTTGTAAGTTGTTCTTGCATCAATCATATGAAAAACACTTGACTCCATCTCGTCAATACACAACTGAAGCTGAATTCTACCAACAACCCTTTGCCCATTATGGTTGAATTCATGTATCATCAATCGACTTTACTTTAGTTCATCCATAGGTATGCTAAGTTCCTTGAAGGTCTTGAGAGGCATAATGTTGACGGCTGAACCTGGATCAAGCAAGATTCGGTTCATCTTTCTTTCACAAATAGAACCTGCAACAAACAAAGGATGATTATGAGGCTTATCAACAAGCACTCGATTTTCATCAATAACGGTGATCTTTTCCACAGCCGTATAGTAGGCCTTTATATCTTGAGTCTCCTCATCACTATCTTGTTTTAGCTCTCCTTCAACATGACAGCATGGAAAGGACAACTTAGCACCCATAACCTCCTTTGGCATGTATTCCGCCAAAGTAATTGATTGCCTAGGCTTTTGTTCTATGAAATCTTCTACATGCAGTTCGAAGATCTTTCTCGACTTTCTCGACTTTGGTTGAATCTTTGAGGAAGTCAATTGTGTTGGCTTGACAAACTTCTTCAACACCTTACTCCTCTTTGGAATTGCCTTGGATGGTAGTGGGTTCCTACTTTTACTTCTTTTGTGAGTAACCAAAGTCCATCCTTCTTCTTCAAACTGATCCTTAGTAGGTTCATTGCCCCCAACGGTGCTCCCATCTCCTTGTAGCAAGCTGAATTCATTTAGCAAAGAAGTTTGGTTTAGAATAGACACCTCAACTTGAACCGGGTCCAAAGAGCCAAACCTTATTATTTCTTTTATTGAGGAGATCAACAATTTATCAACCACTATCGTTATCAAATTGGCAGTCGCTTCCTCCTCATCAAAAGGATGACACCATTCTTATGCGACTCCATGATTTTGTCTTTCAAGACGAAGCACTTCCCAACTCGATGGCTAATTAGCCTATGATACTTGCAATAGTTTGGATCATCCACTCGATTTGCTTCCTCCGGGCACTTCATCTCTGGCAATTGGATTAGTTTAGCTTTAAGCAGTTCATCCAACATACTTGAAACATCAGAATCAGAAAAAGGATAGCTTTTTTCCTGCCTCTCGTTTAAAGTAGCCTTTTTTCTTTCTATTGGCTGAAAAGGAGTCTCCTTCACGTGCTGCTTCTTCTCAGTCCTAGGTTGTAACTTGATTGGCACTGTAGTTACAGCCATAGACTGATTACTTTCTGACTTGACAGGTGTTTTAGCGAGTTTCAGCACTTCTGGCTTATCTTTCCCCCTTTTTGGGTTCCTGAATTAGGATATTTTGATTCCCATGATCAGAAATACTGAGCTCCATGTCATGAGCCTGAGTAGCTAACTCTTCAAAAGTATGAGGATTGATCCCTTGCAAGATGTAGCGCAAGCTCCAATGCATGCCCTTGATGCATATATCAATTGCTGAGGATTCTGACAGTCGATCTTTGCAATTCAAGCTGAGACTTCTCCATCTTTCAATGTAGTGAATGACAGATTCCCCTTTCCAATGACGAGTAGTAGTGAGCTCAATCATAGTAACTACACGTTTGGTGCTATAGAAGCGATTGAGGAATTCCTGCTTAAGTTATTCCCAACTATCAATAGAATCAGGTTTGAGATCCGTGTACCAATCAAAGGCATTTTCTTTCAAGGACCAAACGAATTATTTGACAAGTAGATCGCCGTCTGTGCCAGCATTGTTGCAAGTTTCCACAAAGTGGGCTACATCCTGTCTTGGATTTCAATTTCCATCAAATTGTTGAAACTTAGGAGGTTGGTAATTTGATGGATCCTCATCATGTCGATCCTCAAAGTGTACGTCTTTGAATAGGTGTAGGAAGGCTGCATCGTAGTCTCCAACTGATCTTTCATAGCTTCTTTAATCAACTCCTTCAATTGAATAGTTGAGATTGAGCCATCGGCTGTAAGTTTGAAACCTTTTTCTAGGGTCTCCATTGATGACGTCTCTATTGGCGGCGTAAAACTTTTTGATGTAGATTCATCCTTTTCAGACATCTGATTTTTTCCAGTCATGCTGTCTAACTTGTTCATGAGGTAGGCAATTTGGTTATCTCTTGAAGAGCACGATTGAGAGCTTCCAGTTGTAGCTTCAAAGTATCCAGTTCTTCTGCTGACGTAGTTCCAGTCATCATAACAGACATGATATCAGAAGAGTTTGTTGCTGAAACAGTTGACTGCTTTTGGGAAGCACTTTTCTCAACAGATTCCACCAGAATTGGCGAAGCAACAACAACTTGTTAAGGTAGAGGATTCGCTTTCACATAGATTTCAATGACATACTTTATCTTGATATTTGCATCAGGACTCGAGTATGTAGTGAATCTGACATTGAGAGAATTTGAAGCGCCAGTTTGTGCGGCCTTTGAGGTGACATTGTTCTTCTTTGGTGCCATTGAATCTTTTGGTTGATTCGTCGGAACTTTAAGATTTGCAAAGTGAAGAGATAAGACGTAGAGAGGTCCCATTGGGCGTGCCAGAAATCTGTAAGCGTAAAATTTATTCCTGAAAATTAAGAAATGAAAAATCCAAAAATACAAATTGAATTTATGATAATAAGTGGATATAATCTCTAGTGTGGAATCTCCTATTATAAAGAAGATTATCCTTTGATTCTTCTCTTTGTTGTCGCGGACACGATTCAAGGGTCGAAACGACTTGATCTTGAATATGATTCAACGATAGAAGGGACTTGATGTTGAATTAATGTAGAACGAACTTTGGACGATTCAAGGGTCGAAGAGCCTTGCTCTTGAATTGAAGTTGAAAGAACTTTGATTCTTTGGACTTGAGGGAGAACTTTGTATTCTTGAATTTGACAGAACTTTGAGGCTTCTTTTTTGTCTTTCTCTCTATATGCGTGTGTATGTATATCCTATACATGAAGAGAGGGATCCTATTTATAGCAATTAGAGGAAGTCCCCTTGCCAAGTATATAATTTGACTGGTCCACTTGGCAAGCTCTCATTGGCTGCTACTGCATCACTTAGCTTATGTAAACGCCTGACTTATTCGCCAAGATTTAATTTAATTGGTCCACTTGGCCAATTATTATTGGAATTTACTACATTATTTATTTATGCAGTAAATAATATTTATCCAATAATTTTATTATTTAAATATTTTGATTGGTTATCAAAATAAATTGTTTAATTTAACTAACCAATAATTTAATTGGCTAATTAAATAATTAAGTTAATAATTAAATTAATTTAAATAAAATTTAGGTGTCTACAGTGCTTGCACCCCCTAAGCAACAATCCTCTTAAAAAGGACCACCTTAACCTTCACTTCCCTCAACTTGGCCAAAAGCCTTTAAGCTCATCTCTCAAGAGCTTCCCCTCATCGTGCAGCTTAACATTCTCATCCTTAAGGGAAGCAATTTCATTAAAGAAGGAAGCTCCACCTTAAGGGAAGTATTATAACGTCTGCAGCTCCACCTTGGCATGTCTAATCTCCATATTGCCCAAATTCGCATTTGGGTTGTGAGACTTGGATCTCCTTCTCTTCTTACTACCTTGCTCCTCTACCTTAGGAGCGCGACTACTCTTGGCTGGATGAGTGATCTCTGTTTGGTCTGCCATTTTCCCTTAATGGCTTAAGCTTAAGCTACAGCAACTGTAGGCAACTAGTGCTTGTACTCCCATAAGCAATGGAAACAACCTCCATGCTAACCAGTGGTTAATCCTTCCACCTAAAGATTAAACCCCCCCCCCTTAGAGTAAATATTCTCTAATACCAACTCTCATGGGCTCGGTGCTTTCGGCTCATTGCGGATAGCAATAGTCCATGCGATACTAGCAAACTTTCCCCTCTAAGTATGCTAGTCAGCTCTCCTCACACAACAGAGGTTATGATACCCTCTTATGCATGCTCGCGTAGCAAACAAAGGTTAGATTAGTGAGAAAATCAGCAAATAGAGGTTAAATATGCTTAAGACTAGGCTTGGCTTGAAGAAGGATCAATTCAAAAATGAGATAAAAAGAAATAAACCCTTGGAAAGCTTTATTAAACCCTTAAAATAATATGTACAAAGTTATAAGGCTTAACTCTAAGTATAGCTAAAAAATAAAGGAGTGTGATGGCTCAAATATAGTAATGTTTCCTTGTATTACACCTAGCTTCACATGAATTACATATATACAGAGTGCCTAGCTGGCTTGGCCCCCAACAAAGGTCAATTCCCTTGCTCCTCTAGAGACTCCTAAGTGTATCTAGCCCCTCAAGACCCTCAAGGTTGGTGGAAGTTTCTAAAACACTCTAGGTTTGCATAGGTCTCACTAGACCCTTCCTGCCCACATGTTGCCTAGTGTCAAGCACACTCCAGCGCCCTCTAAGCCGCTCCAGAAGCATTTTCATGTGCCAATGCCTCGTATACACATGGAACTTTCTAGACTACTCCAGGCCCCTCCACATCATTGTAGAACGCCTTGGTGCCTTGCAGAATCCTCTAGAGCCCCTAAGCCTGGCGAGCCTTACACTGTGGCATACTTGCACGAATACACTAGGCCCTTTTCCCCTCCTCTAGCATGTTCTAAAGTTTTCTAGCCCCTTGCACTGCCATATTAGGTCAATGATGACCATTAGGCTTGTGATATATGCTTTTCCCCCTACTTGGCATGGTTCAACCCACACTGCTCACCTAAGCAGCTCGGCCTATGCCTGTTGGCACTATTCATGTTTAGGCCCTGCGCCTGTTGGCAAAAGCCTTATTTTCTTAGATGAAGGCCTACCTCCCATTGGCAGAATGACTCCAAACCTTGATTTAGCTCATGAATCAAGCCTTTGGCCTCATAATAAGATTTTTATGCATATAAGGGCTCTTAGTGCATGGCAATATGACATTGGATCTAGTAAGCTATTAGCCACTGAAGAAGCATCAATTCCCTCTTTTCATGCGTTACTTCCAATTGTAGAAATTCTAAAGCATCAACTCAACATCACCTTTAAAGAACTAACAAAAATTCATTATTCATATCTATTTCAAAGGGGAGAAGATAAATCATCTAGCAAGGTAAATTACATTAAAGGTTTACCAAATTTGAATTAAAAAAGGTTATCCTTAGTAAATATAATAAAGGTTACCAAAGTTTGAATAACACTATTCTATATGAATTTTATACCGATTAAATATTTGAGTAAAATACTTTCAGGTCCCTAAATTATAGTTCAATTACACTTACATCATTTTATATTACGCTAATAACATAGCGTCCCTAAATTACTATTCGTTAAATAAATGGGTCCTTCCGTCTATTTTTAAGCAATTTCACCGTTAACTTTTAAATAAAGGCAAATAAGGAGGGAGAATATGATAAAGTTTGCATTATACCTTGTCTTGACACGCAACCTAATTACTTTTTTTTACTTATTTTTATTTTATTTTGCATCAATCACGTAACCTTCTGCCTACCGTATTCTTCTTCTTTTTCGTCTCTTTTTCTTCCCTCGAAATACCTCATCAACGAGCAAATCTTTGCTATTTCTGTTCTATCTATTTTTTTTCTTTTTTTGATCTTGATATGAAAATAAATCATATATGTTTTTCTTTAACTTTTATCAACATCAATGTAAGGAACACCAATAAATTTTCAAATACAGGAATCTGACAATGAAATTGCAATTAAAAAATTGATAACAAGATGAATAAAGTAGATGAATTTGATTATATTCTCAGTTGCTCAGGTCAAATAAATGAAAAATAAATGGTTGATTAACAGAAGAATAAAATTTGAGAGAGGGGAATAATTAAAAAGGAAAGGAAAATAATATGAACTTACTCGAAACCTGCAGATATATAAATCATCACCTAATAATTTTCTGTATTTCTCCACAGACTTATAGTTAGGATTTTTCGGCATGAAAACAACATTGATATTAACCAAAGCTTTGATTCCATCAAGCCTAAAATGTCAAACCACTATCGCATCCCAATCATGACCCACAAGAAACACTTGCTCAATGCCGACGAGGTGGAGGACAGTGTATTTAGTGGATAATGGTGGCGCATCGATGTCACCGCAGGCACCACTGCAAAATGATTATTTGACAGAAACTGACCCGGATCTACAACACTGGATCAATATTAACAGAACCATCACATTTCTCTCCCGCCCGATTCGCTTCCACAACGTGATCTCCAATGTTGCCGCCTCACTCCGGCGACTCCTTTCGTGAAAGAACTCTCAGAACTTTGAAGAGATAAAGCACCCAGTGAAAGAGTATTTCACAGCCTGTCAAAGAAGTTCTTACTTCTTCTTCTTCTTCTTCTTTTTTATTTATTTATTTATTTTTTTTTTATTTTTTATGATAAGGTCATTTTTATATTTGCAGATCAAGTTAACGGTGAAATTGCTTCAGAATGGACAGAAGAACCCATATATCTAACGGAATAGTAATTTAGGGATATCGTAGTTATTAACTCGTATTTATTAGTTCAATGTAAAAAAATGCAAGTATTAACTGGATTATAATTTAGGGATTCGTAAGTATTTTACTCTACATTAAAACAAAATTTGATGCATAGTTATTAGTTTAATATAAAAGAATGTAAGTGTTAACAGAACTATAGTTTAGAAATCCCAAAGTATTTTACTTTATATTAAGACAAAATTTGATGCATGTTGTTTATTATTTGAATTTTTTGCCAAATATAAGTTTTCTTTCACTTTTTTTTTACCCTTAGCATGCGTAGTCAAATCTTTTAATTCATAAGCCGGGAGGGTTATTTGGATAAATTTCATGGTTTTTCTAAGTTGTGGAAACCTATGCTCTTTTTTTTACACAATAAATTTGGGTTCACAGTCAGAAACACCTTATCAAATGTTATAAGGCTACCCTAAACCAATTTAGGATACTAGGCGTAATCTATTTAAGCAGGCCTTGCAGATCGTTGCACAAAATTTAAAATCAATCTTCATTTCCATAGCATCATATGCCTGCAAGGTCCATGGATGCTCATTTCTCTTTTTAATGATCAGTTGATCACACGCTATTTGAGATCGAAAGCATTCCTTCAATTTTCATTCCATTATGAGCAAGCAAACCAATAACATAATCAAGCTGCTAAATGCACATTCATATTGTCTTTCAAGCTATTCTCTTGCTAGAATAATAGAATATTAATAACACCGAGGCACAGTTAGGCATCCCATCTCATTACATTACAACGAGGATAACAGAAAATGGAAAGTATCATTCACATTCCCTATTTTTAATACCTTAACCTGCATCGCAATAAACCTCAAATGGTAAGAGACATTACTCCCCATTCTCATTCATTCCCTCTGGGCTACCAGTTCTCAAAAGAAAGGCAACGAGAACTTGATCTTCATTATCGTTTTTTCACAAGTGGCAAGAATCCACCAAGTGGCAGTTCATTGCCTCATATCCGTCAGTGCGAATCCTTGTTTCATCAGGAATCCATAATATGGTAGATCCATGATTCCATCAGAACAGAGGCATGTGCATAGGATATTCAATTCTTACAAAATGAGTCTTAAATATCTGAAAATGTGGCCCATCGGTTTATCTCATGATGGTGGTATACATTTTAACTGAACTGATGCATGCGTTGTTCCGATTCAAAGTTTATACAACACTATGCAAAATCCATATTTTCCTACCCAATTGAGATTGCAAATCATAAAAGCATCTACATCAACGAGCATACACTTGTACAAAGATAGGATAAATTAAACTCAGTTTGATGAAATTTATATTGCAACACTATAATAGCATACAACCATAAACTTAAATTCCATATACAGCTGCTAAAAGGGGGAGCGAGTGTACTAGGTTAAAGTTCATTAGAGTAAAGACATTCATCCACAAGCTGGCGCAGATTGGGATTCTCCAGGGCAGCAGCAACTCTTTCTTTATCATTTAATTGCTTATTAACTGCAGAAGACAAATTGCAGAAACAGTATTAGCCAGGTGTTAGTTGAGAGTTAGAAGAAGAACATCAACAACAAGTACTGACCCCTTATGTAATTGCACATAGATACAGACCCCTCATTTGGTATGAAAGAATTTAACTGTAGAATTCATTTTATAAATGATAATGTTTGCTTCAGCACGTCGAATTCCATAAAATTGAATTCATGAGGGTGAAATGAAGATTTCCATCAATACGAAGCATGGAAACAGTTCTAAATAGTTCCACAAAAGTTTTTGGAATTCATCTAAGCCAAACAAGGCCTAAAAAAAGGAGATGAAAGAACCAAAGCAATGCTCTTGTCAGACCAGCCCTCTTCTTCTTTTTAATCAAGGCTGAGACAAGTCAATTAATGGGTACAACTGAGGACATGCTCAAGGGTTGTACCTGGACTAGTTAAATAACTTGTGTGTTCTAGCATGAACACCAAATAAATGGAGAGGATATTAAACAAACCGCACCAATATTAATGCCAAATTGAACTTTACCTGATTCTTCATCAGCATGAGATCCAGGAGCAACTTTAATGTCAACCTGTGAAAGTATCATCAAATCTAGGGATGACAAATGTTTTACAATTATCCATTATAAAAAGGCAGGCTAAATATTATATTTATATCAAAATTCATAAATATTCCCAAATTTTCTTCCAATTATTCAGAGATGCCTATTGTTGAAAAATGATAAACAAATTTGCAGAGCCAAAATCAACCCATTAATGGAATTAAAAGACTTATGTAATTTTGTAGATGCAGAATGGACATTGATGCATGAATAATTTGAACATCCCAGTACACTTGGAGATAAATGGAACATAACCAAACAAGTTTTATGGAAGTTACAATGACTTGTTCTCTACAGACTGTTGAAACACGAGTTCCCAGCTGTCTGGACCTACTATCTAGTGAATCAGTGAATTACCACTTGGCAGCTGCTGCTATCCAGTAATAACATGTTAAACATCCCCTACTGTCTGCTTGTAAAGCAAATCCCTCTAAAACCACGTACTATAAATTTTACAAGCAGGAGAACAGTGTCACCACAATCGATGCACGCCTAGCAATTTGCATTCCAGATCACAAGATCCAAATTATGGATTGTTAATAACTTGGAACACAGCAATCGGAAATGCAATCATTTTAGCATAATGATAAAGAATCATAATATTATAGCTATATTGGGCCATTGAGACCAAATTCTATTTATGGAACAAATGAAATACCTAAAATTTTATGGAATTCATTTGCAAATCCAAATTTGTGTTTGGAACAGAAGAAAAAAAAGAAGAAGAAGATTTCTATTTTATGATTTTAAATATAGGGAATTGACTATATTTAGCACAAATTTTATCAAAATACATAGATTTTCCAAATTTATTCTGCAAAACTAACCAACCCAAATTTTATTGACAGAAATATTCTTTGTCCTTCTACAATTGACTTTGACCTTCGTGAATAAAGAGTAACAGATATTTGTGGATGCTTTTTCATGTTTGAAATTTTTGAAAGGGTGTACAGCTTTTGCATGTTTGGAATCTCTTTAATTTACATGCATTAAGGAATTTTTTTTTTATTTTTTATTTTGTTCAATGTTACCTATTAGTTTCCATGATGCAACAGAAATGAAAACTAAAGTACAACATGCTTTATAACTCCCCATAATGTTTGATTATTTTTTCTTAATCATTTTCCAGAATTTTTTATTTTTAATTTGTTTGGAAAATTTTATTTCTATGTTTTTTTTAGGCTTAGCCTTAATTTTAAGTTACTTTGACATATAAATGCTTGCGATAAATGAGAAAAATAAATCGCTGTGCACCTAGCAATTTGCATTCCAGATGACAAGATCCAAATTATGGATCATTTTATCTTGGAACAGTAAAATCAGCGAACTGAAAATGCAAACATTAATGCATAGTGATAAGGAATCATAATATTACGGCTATATTGCGCCATTAGACCCAAGAATAATATTGGACTATGAGAAAATAGGAAAAAAAAAAAAAGACACCCGCAGAAACATATAAGAGGTTTCCTCTTCGTATGGCTCAAGAAAAATAATTCAAAATTCTGTAATGTAAATTCTTTTAAACATACATAGACATCAAGATAAAAGAATCCTATTCTCTACTCTTTAATTCTGGAATCTGCCTCACTAATTGTGACTGTTATCGGTGGAAGTTAGCTATAAGCCTATAACCTCACCAGCACCCACTTTGAGAGCTTTTATTTCTTGTTTTGCAGGTCTCCTGGGAAGAGAAGAATCAGGGTAACATCTGATCCAGACCCAGTCAAGACAAACAATATCAATCACAAATTTCTAAGATAGTGCTGTTATCTAACAAAACTTTTGGGATTTGGATTTTTTTTAATAGCAGTAAAGTGGTTGGCATAAACTAATTTAGTATACTCATAGGATATTAGAAAATTTAGAGCTTATTCTCTTTTCCATCCTATATACATATGCAATTCAAATAATCTATTTTATTCCCTCTACCAATCTAAAAGAAGCCTACCCTGCCATACCTCATTTCCGTACAATGAAGTTTACGAATATTTTCATTCGATATACCAGAGTGATTCATCCTCTAGGTAACCTAGCAGGAGAATTTAAATGATCAATTATGAACGAAGCAAAGGGGAAATCTTTTATCAACTTAAAATGAAAAATCATATTGAGTTGTGAAGAAGTTGAAAATAAGTTGAAAGACACGAATGAGACATGATAAACTGAAGTTAGTTACAGTCTTCACATCACAAACCAAGAAGAATCTTAGGCCTCCCAATTTTTACACAGGTGCAAAAAAAGAAGCTATCAACATACATTAGCCATTCCACAAATGAAAGAAGAAAAAACAGCAATTTATCATATCATAATACAGAAAGCAGCAAACAAACACATGCAATGAGGAGAGAAATATACAACTAATCCAATAATTAATAACAAAGACTAACCTTATAATGAGGAGGGAAACATTCTTGCAACTTTACTCTAAGGCAAAGACCAATAACTGTTGCCATGCTGCAATGTTGAATGGTTGGAGTAAAAGTAATCCTAAAACAGAATACATACCCAAATTAAAGAGTTTCATCTCTTGAAATTTAAGAATATAAGGAAAAAAAATTTTTCCTTCATAAATTTCAGTTTGATGAATTTGAGGTGTATTTGTTACAATACCAAGGGTTACTCACAGAATACGGCCGAGTTTGTCATCAACAGTGATCGATTCCTCTGACAGAACACTGAGCTGTTCTAGTGAATATGGATGCTCTGGATCTCTTATATCCCTCACAAAATTTGCAGTTTCAGTCAAAGATCACATTTTTTTTTCCAAAATTCACAAGAACCCATTAATCAAAAAGAACACCAAAAACACTATCAACTTCTAAATTCCAGATGATGAATTCTGCACTGAACTGAGTTCAGTCAACTGCAATTAAAACCTAAATACATAAAAGAGAATTTAACAAAAAAAAAGGATATCATAAATTTCGAGTGGATCCACGGCATCTTCGCAGTGAAGATCTTCAGTGCGAGCGATCCTTTCCTTCTTGGCATGAACCACAGGGTTCGCATTGATCAGACCCAGAGTCATTTTTTTTCTCTAAATCTGTAGCTCTTTTCTTTTCCAGTTCTTGTGTGTGTATCTTTCTTATTTTCTTTTCCCTTCGTTTCTTTTTCTTTTCTCTCGTCCTAACTCGCAAGTCACGGACTGCTATTTAAGCTGTCTCCTTCTAAGTCACGGGCTGCTACTTGGCCGGTCGTAATTACGATTTGCAATAGTATAAAGTTTATATTTGGCAACAACATGAATAACTTCCCTCTCTAAAGTTTATGGTTCTATTTATAAATTAAATTAATGAAAATATAAATTTTAAAAATTGTTACTTATCCTTTTTTTGCCCGGTGTATAGTCATGGAAATATTATCATTTCAATAAAAATTTCTATTTTCATTTATTGGTACATTGATGAGGCTATATATCCAGTTTAGGCAAGTCAATCACCCTCATAGTGTGACCTATTTCTTCATTGGAGTTAGTTATTCAAATTCTTTGTGATTGGAACAAATTATTAATTTGTACCGAGCAAGTGTAAGAACCAAACAATTAGTCAAAATCGAGCAATGATTGTATTCATTTGAATAAAAGTAACGCTCAGTCAAAAAGAGTCATTAAAATCATTAATTGCCAAGATCCTCGCTCGGAATGCATAGCCAAGATTCTCGCCATAAATTTACATTATCAGTTATAATTTGAGATATATTATAAATACTTGTATAAGAACCTAGAAAGGACATCTGATCATTTTTCACAATAGTCATATCAATATTTCTTTTATGAGTTTATTTCTATCAAATTGGTACTGTGAGTGTGGAGCACACCTTCGTTTCACATTCAATATCTTATAATTTTCTCCCATCAAGATGAAATGGCATCCCCATGAAATCCAAAATTTGCTTGATGAAACCCAAAACCCATGTATGGAATCTTCTCCAAACATGAATTTAAACATTGTGACTTATCCCCATGATGCAATGCATTGTGATATACCATTTGCTCCCAATCCTCCTCCAACGACGGCCACACAAGTTGCAAAGGATTTGACAAAGGCATACAACAACTTTGCATCCATCCTAAAAGGGTTCATGCACTCCCAACCTCCTCCGTAGCCTTCCCAACGACATAACTATTCTCTTCGAAAGGGAAAGAGAGTTATTCTGGAGGAAAAGGAAAAGCACATAAATCTTTTAGAAGAAACTGAATCCTCTTGGAAGACGGATGCTACTCATAGTTGGAGTGCAGGGAACATGTCTAAAAGGACGAATGATGAGAGCTTCTGAACAAGAATTAAAGAAATCTTAAAGGAATACGGAGTAGTTGGAGATAACTGTGACTACGGGCTTACAAATGATTCCCCGTTATCACCTGGAGTGTTGGCTGTGTATTTCCCATCCAAATTTAAGATGCCCAACTCCCAAATATATGATGGAACAACGGATCCCAAGAGTCATCTTGCTAACTTCAGAATAATGATGCACATCTAGACAACTACGAATGCTTTGTTGTGCCAAGCATTCCCAGCAACTTTGAAAGGCCCAACACAGGAATGGTATCAGATGCTTAAGACAGGGTCAATCTCATCCTTTACTTAACTAGCTTCAACTTTCAAAGCATAATTTATCACGTGCATATCGAGCAAAAAGATTTCCTCTGACCTTATCAATTTAAAGAGGAATGAGGGCGAATCACTTAAAGGATATCTTAATAAATTTTAAAAATTAACCATGCAAATTAAAGATTTGAATGCAGAAGTAGTGATCAGTGCAATGAGAAAGAACTATAAGTATGAAAAGTTATTTGATTCAATTAATATTGATCCACCGCTTTCTTTTGCAGAACTCATGTCCTGAGGAAATAATTATGCTCGACTAGATGAAGCCTGGAAGCAGCAACAATTGTAAACTAAAATTCCACAAGAAAAAAAGAAAGAAGACTCTAGCAAAAGGAGTTTACCTCTGCGGTACAACAGACCACATCTTGCTCAGGCCAACTATGCTTCTAGAACTCCATATTCCCGAGCGAGGGATGTTGAGGAGCGGCAGTTAACACCGCTAACAAGAAGCCAAAATTATATCCTTGATGGGATTTAAAGGCATGACGAAGCAATTTACATTACCTACCCAAGGAAAACGAGGGGGGAATCTTCTGCATACAGAGATAAGAGCAAATATTGTGATTTCCACAGAGAAGTGGGACACGATATTGAGCATTGTTGGGAATTGAAGAAAGAAATTGAGAAACTAATATAACGTGGTGTGCTTAAGAATTTTGTGCCGGGATAAATAAAAAATCCCACTAGAGAAAAGAAAGAGCAGAAATCATCAGCAAGAAAGGAAATAGTGGGAGTGATCAATATGATCTTTGGTGGTCCAATGGGTGGAGATAGTAACACAGCAAGGAAGTGGCACGTGAGAGAAATCTATTCAATCTTTGAAAAGATTCCAACTAAACAACCCTCGATCATTTTCACAAAAGAAGATGGTGCTCGGGTACAACATCCACATGTAGATGCTTTGGTTGTATAGGGAATCATTGAAAATTATAAATTTAAACACATATTAGGGGATGATAGCAATGTTGTGAATTTACTAACTTTTGATGTTTTCAAAGCTTTAGAATTAAATATTAACAAACTAAAGTCTGTTCGTACACCTTTAGTGGGAGTTGCAGGAAAACAAGTTCAAGTTGAAGGATCCATTGAAGTTTTAATGGAATTGGGCGATGAGGAGCATACGATAAATTTCCAAGCAGAATTTGTGGTGGTGGACATTTCGTTCCCATACAATGCTGTCATTGGTCGGCATTTGTTATATGATTTAAATGCTTATACATCAATTAATTTCTAACCTTAAAGTTTCTTATTAATGATAAAGTTGTTGTTAATGATAAATGCTCGCACCATTCATTGCCTACCTTAATTACAAAACAATAAGAGGAGAAGGGGCAACAGGCAAAAGAAGGTGCAGAACCCTTTGACATTCCGCGGGATCGAACAGAGCTGAATCTAGAACCTAAAACAACTCTAGTTCAAATAGAAATAGAAGAAGGAAAGAAAGTAAAATTGAGGACAAGCACCACTGGGGTAATATTACAAAATCTCTTTTTAGTTTTAATAAATCATAAGAATGACTTTGCATGGCTAACTAGCGATATAACAGGAATTAATCCAACTGTAATGAATCATAAGCTCATTATTAATCCTAATATCAAACCCATAAAACAAAAGAAGAGAAATCATGCACTCAAGCAGCAAAAAATAATAGCTGCAAAGGTGGATAAATTAATTAAAGCAGGAGGAGAAGGGGCAACAGGCAGAAGAAGGTGCAGAACCCTTTGATATTCCGCAGGATTGAATAGAGTTGAATCCAAAACCTAAAACAACTCCAGTTCAAATAGAAGTAGAAGAAGGAAAGAAAGTAAAAGCGGGGACGAGCACCACTGGGGTAATATTACAAAATCTCTTGTCAGTTTTAAAAAATCATAAGAATGATTTTGCATGGCAGACTAGTGATATAACATGAATTAATCCAACTGTAATGAATCATAAGCTCAGTATTGATCCTAATATCAAACCCAATAGAACAAAAGATGAGAAATCATGCACTCGAGCAGCAAAAAATAATAGCTACAGAGGTGGATAAATTAATTAAAGTAGGATTTGTTCGAGAAGTAGTATATCCAACTTGACTTGCTAATGTTGTTCTTGTTCCTAAGCCAAATGGCAAATTGCAAGCACACACAATTTATGTTCGGACTAATTATCCACTGAAAAAGGTATTACACAGAGTACAAACGTCAAGGCGAATGATATAGTGGTCTATAAGAGTTGGAGAATTTGACATCCAATATGTACCCTGAGCAACTTTAAAGGCACAAGCACTTTTGGACTTCATTTTAGAATTAACAAGATGCCCAGCAAAAGACGAGCAACAAGTCACATAAAAATGATAATGGCAATTGTTTACAGATGGAGCATCAAATCAAGCAAGAGTAGGAGCAGGGATCATATTGCAAGGATGTAACAAGGTCAAACTTCAGTATGCAGTACAACTAAACTTTGGAGTAACTAACAATGTTGTTGAATATGAAGCACTAATAACAGGCACCAAATTAGTACAAGAGGTAAGACCTGAGCAACTGTCAATTTATTCTGACTCCCAATTAGTGGTCAATCAATTGGCAGAAAAGTTCGAGGTCAAAGAACAAATTCTCATAAAATATAAAGCTCTGGCGATTCAACTATTATCACAAATAAAAGGTTGGGAAATACAGTAAATTCCTCGAGCAAAGAATGCTGAAGCAGACAATTGAGCAAAAATGGCAGCATAAAAAATTTAATGGATGAACAGCGCAATACCTTTGGAAATTCAACAGTAGGTGAGCGTTGACCAAAAACCCATTTTTATGGGGGAACAACTATAAGGATGGATGAAATCATTTGTGGAGTATTTGGATCAAAGAATTCTTCCTGAAGATAAAAAAGAAGCAGTTAAAATCGCAAGAAAAGAAATAAATTATGCTTATCAACATTCAATATTTTATAGGAGATCAAAAGCTCATCCATGGACAAAATGACTGAATGAAGAAGAAACTAAATATGCTATCAAGAAGGCACATGAAGGATTATATGGAGCATACGAGGGAGCAGATGCGCTTATTAGAAAAATTACTTTGCAGGGCTATTATTGGCAAACCATGAAGAAAGATGTAAAGCACAAAGTCAGAACATGTTAATAATGTCAGAAGTATAGCAAAGTACCTCAACAACCTATGATGCAACTATAGCCTTTGAGAGGAGCATGGCCATTTGCACAATGGGTAATTGATATCTTTGGTCCATTTCGTCAGACAGTTAGGTAGAAGAAATTTGTGGTTGTAGCAGTGGATCACTTTACAAAATGAATAGAAGCAGAGTCGTTTTCTACAATAACACCAAGCAAAGTAATATCTTTCTTTCCAAAATGATATAATCTTTCAATATGGAATACCGAACAACATAGTCACGGACAATGGAAAACAGTTTGACTCACTACACTTTCACAATTTTTGTTCTAACTGGAAGATCAAATTGCACTTCACATTAATAGATCACCCACAAATGAATGGGTTAACAGAGGTTACTAATCGAATTCTTTTGTAGGGATTAAAGAAAA